GTCCTCCAGCCACCACTCCTGGCAGGTACATCAAGTTCAACGAGCAGTATGTGCCCCATGACCCCATCATGTCCGGCTGCCTTCCCAGCAACCCCTGGATCACGGATGACACCACGTACTGGGCCATGAATGCCCCCACGTAAGTGCCCCAGGCCCCCCACAGCTCCAACCCACAGGACAGGGTTGTGGGGTCTGTGGGGTCAGGCAAGCTGCCATGGGCTGCCAGCCCCAGTGCCGCTGTCACCCACAGAGTGACGACCCCCACGAAACTGCGCGTGGAGCGTTGGGGCTTCAACTTCAGTGAGCTCATCAACGACCCCCTGGGCCGGGCACAGCTCCTTGAATTCCTCAAGAAGGAGTTCAGTGGTGAGAGGCCCCAGCCCCAAAACACTGCTGTGTCTTGGCAGCCCAGACCCACCACTGTGACCCAGCACTGCCAAACCCACCATGTCCCAGGGGTGCCTAATCCACTGTCCAATCCCAACACCACCAAAGCACCCCATTACCGTGTCCTGGCTTTCCTCAGCCCTCCAGCACATCCCAGTACCTCCCAGCTAATCTGCCCCAGTTTCCCTGGTTCCACTGTCCCAGTTGGCTCTGTGCCCATGAGGAAGTTGCCCACGAGGGGTGCCCAGTGCCATGTCCCCATTGCCAGCACCATGTCCCCCTCCCCAGCTGAGAACCTGAGCTTCTGGGAGGCGTGTGAGGAGCTGCGCTACGGGGAGCAGTCCCGCATCGCCGAGATCGTGGACTCCATCTACCAGTGAGTGTCGGGGGGGATCAGGATGGAGGTTTTGGGGGTGCTCAGGCCATCACGGTGCCCTGTCCCGGGGCGGGGCCGGGCTCACCGCCGTCTGTGACTCCCCAGGCAGTTCCTGGCTCCCGGGGCCACGCGCTGGGTGAACATCGACAGCAAAACGATGGAGCGAACACTGGAGGGCATAAAGACGCCCCATCGCTACGTGATGGACGATGCCCAGATGCACATCTACATGCTGATGAAGAAGGTGGGTGAGGGCGGGGCTGGGCAGTGCGGGGCTGGGCAGGATCCTGACGTCTCTGCTCGCCCAGGACTCATACCCACGGTTCCTCAAGTCGGACCTCTACAAGAACCTCCTGGCCGAGGCCATCATTCCCCCGGAGACCAAGAAGCGGTGAGGGCAGGGGCCGTCCCCTGGGGCCCACCTGGGGTGGTCCCCGCCTCTTCTGACCCCGTTCTGCCCGCAGGGTGTTCCCCTTCATGCGCAAACAGCGGCACTCCAGCCCCAGCCCGGCGCTGCTGCTGCCCGCGGGCGATGCCGAGGAGAGGAGCAGGAGCCCTTCCACTGCCGCCGTCCCCGAGGAGGAGAGCTGAGAGCCGCAGCCCCCCGGGAGCCCCTGACCCAGCACACCCAGCCCCGCCGCAGGACCCTGCCGGCAGTAGCACTGGAGGACAGAAGCCATATTCCCCCCGGGGCGCCCCGGAGCCAGGCTGACCCCGCCGCAGCCCCCGCTCACATCCCCACACCCTCCCGCCCCTCGGGGAAGCCGCACCCAGCCGGCCTGGTGCGGGGTCACCCCCTCCTCCCACCCCGGGCACGACACAGTAAAACCCCCGTGGGGAAACACTGAGGCTCCCGTGGTTTTTGGGGAGCGGGGCCGGGGCGGCGCTGGCAGGGTGGGAGGTGCACAAAGTGCTGCCCACTCCTCCAGGCTGGATCGTGACCTGAACTCTGGGCTGGAAGCGATGTCCTCCCACGCCTGCAGCAGCCAGCAAGGGTGCAGAGCCCGGGAGGGGACCAGCCCCCGCAAACGTGTGCCCATGGCACAGCCATCACCCACAGATGTGCTTGCTCCCAGGGGCAGCACCAGCCTGGCACGGCTGAGCTGGCACAGCAGGCATTACCCGTGTGCCACCTACTCCCCAGGGGGACAGAAAGGCCCCTGGAGTGGGGCTGGAGTGACGCAGCCGTGTGGGCTGGTAGGGGCACCAGGAGCAGGGCTGGCAGCTGAGCCACTCTCCCTGCCCATGGATTGTTAATCTGAGCAGAGGCTGGGGATCGCACGGCAGGATTATTCCCCTGCTGCAGAGGATTATCGCTGGTGGTTACATAAAGGAGAGGGGGGCTGATGCCCAGCAGTGCTCAGCCCTGGAGCCCAGCCTGCTCCACACGTACCCACACAGCAGAGCTGGGGACAGCTCCAGCCCCAAATGGACCAAGAGGCGCCATCCTGTATCCTAACAAACACCGTTGGGATGCTGAGGATGGCATCCTTCCCTGCCACAGAGCCTGGCACGGAGCAAGGGGCATTCTCAGCTCCGTGCTGGGGCAGACAGAGGGCCCTGGGGCAGGGGAAGCTGCTGGAGCCTCGGTCACAGGATGGAGCTTGGGCCCTCGGTGCTGGCAGCCAGCGGGCAGTGACAGATGGTCCCGCGCTCCAGGAGACAGCGCCTGCCACGCGTCTCCCTCCGGCTTGATCCAAATCCAAACCCCGGCATGAGATTTTCGTGCTGATGGACTGCAGCGGGTATCTGGGGTGTAAAACCAGGTCACAGAGCCCCAGGTGGGGGCAGGGACGGGGTGGCCCAGCTTGGTTATCTAACTCCAGCCTCTCTCCACACGCTGCCTTCTCCTTTTTCCTGGCCCATCACCTGCCCGCAGCACGACAGGGCAGCAGGCAGCACCTCAGCCATCAAAGCAGCACCAGGATTCCTGGATCCCTCCCAAGAAGGGACATTCTGCCTTGAGGAGGTCACTCAAAAAATCCCAGTCTTGTGTAACCTCCAATATCAAAGCAGGGCACCATTTACAAACAATGCAAAAGAGGGTTTATTGAAACCATTCCGGTTACAGCAAGTCCTGCACGGCACAATTTGCAATAAGTTAAAGAACCAAACCAAACGGTCTCAGTGTTAAAAACCACACTAACACAGAACACAGTGATATAGCCATTGCCACCCAGCTGAGTTATTGAATCAAGGCACAAAGTCATTCATTAAATACTGCAAAAAAACAATTACACAGGAAATAAGCTGGAAAACAGACTGGTTTTGTTAAGAAGGTGCTGGTTTGGCACTGATGCGTTTAACTGAGCTTCCACGGTGAAATCTGCATTTCCAAACTGTCCAGAAACATTACTGGACAACTTAAAGCCAGAAAAGCTCCCCAAAGCTGAAAATCCAGCTCTCCTCAAGGAACATTCAGTGTGCCTATGGGAAAGTCAAGTCTGGGTAGGGATCTGAGGAGGGAGAGTGCGGTGAGAATACAGCTCAGGCACCTTGCTCCCAGCCAGGGGAATCTCAGCAGGAAACAATCCACATCCAGCACTCAGGCTGGACTACAGTGCAAGCCTGGGGGTCCCCTGCCCTGTGCTCTGCCCCAGCTGGCTGAAGGGCAGCCTCAATCCAGCCCTCTTATGGCTGCAACACTGGCACAGAGACCTGGGGGGCTGTCGGGCCTAAGGTGCTGAGCAAAGAGGAAACCCAAGCTGGGGGACACAGCTGGGGAGCCTCCCTGCACTGCTAAACTCTCTCAGAAAACAGCTGGGAAGAGAGGCAGAGGGGCAGCCCCACCATTTTGATCCCAGGGTGCTTTGAAGGGTGTGAAGCAGTCCGCAGAGAGCATCCCTGGCTCCCTGCACAGCCGGGACACCCCAGGACTGGCTGCCTGGACTGCCTGGGATATGGCCATGGGGCAGAGGGAGATAGGGCACCCTTTAGGTAGCCACTGGCCAGCTGGAAGCAGGTGTCCAGGCAGCCCAGCTCCCTGTGCTGTCAGGCTGGGAGGGCTGGGGCTGTGGAATGAGCTCCTGACAGCAGCTGCCCAGTGGCACATTCGGGCTCAGCAGTGGCTGAAGGGAAGAGCTGATGCCTGATGCTGCACATTCCCATCCTACAGTGTTTCTACACATCCACCAAATTCAGACTCAGCAAGGGAGGGAGGCACTGGCCAAACCCCCTCCAGCACTGCAGAGCTTGAGAGAGGTTATTTTTAGGCCTATTTTTATTTTCAGGACTGAGCAGCTGTTTCAAACTGTTTGTCTTGGGTTGCAATGCAAGATGTAACCAGAAGTATGTATCCTATTACCACCTGTTAAAACCAGGTGGGGCAGTGTTCTTTATCTCTTCTACAACCCATCCTCCCTCCAGGGGGATATCTTCTGTTCATGAGCCATTCAATCTCACTGCAGGAGTGATAAAATTCCACCATCACATCGTGAGATGCTCCACACAGGGGAGGAGCCAAGCATTCCTACCTGGATATAACTGGAGCCTTTTAACAACACAGCAGCCTTTCCCCACTGGACTCCCAGAGAAGAGAGCAGACCCATCTACACCTCCAGACCTTCAGAGGAAAACTACACCATTCTATAGGATCATTGCTTCAACAGAACCACATCTGTCACTCCAGGAGGACTGCAGCCACCATTTAACTGGATTGCTACCAACAGGTAGCCTGACCAACACCTGACCAACAGGGTGTCAAGGTTGTATTCTGACTCTGCCTGTGGGTTGTTTTTTCTTGGTTTTCTTTTCTTGTACTACTGCATTTTTATTTTAATTTCCTTAGTAAAGAACTGTAATTCCCATTCCTATATCTTTGCCTGAAAGCACCTTGATTTCAAGATTATAATAATTCAGAGGGGGGAGGTTTGTATTTTTATTTATTTCATGGGAGGTTTCTGCCTTAGCAGACACCTGTCTTTTTCAAACCTGTTTTCAGGTTTGAAAAACTGTTTTCAAGGCTCTGCACCTCGTTTCTACAGCCTGCATTGGCACCCATCAGGACAGGGCAGAGCAAACACCTCACAGTGCTACACGGATCTCCAGGAGAAACATGTCATACCCACACAGCAGCCTGTGCCATCCCCTTGGGATACCAGGCTGGGCAGAGAGAATAGTGCTCAAGGATCCTCACCCAGCACCTCCTCAATTCCAAGGGCAGGGAGGCAGCACAGAGCTCCTGCCCTTCTCCTGGCAGCAGGGACAGTGCTTGGAGAAGGCTCCTCAGCAGCTGCAAGGCTGAATGAGCAGGGTGCTGGCACTGCCACTTGGGTACAGGGCTTCCCAGAGCAGCAATCCCAGCTCCCAGAAAAGGTTAAAGTGCAATTCTACTCAAGCCAGATCCTCTGGTTCCTTAAATCTGGAGAGGTGGTGGTGGTACCTCCAGAGAGCAGCCAGCCTGAGCTCAGGGGGGATCTCTCACCACCTGTAAGCAGACTGAAGGGAGGAAGGAACATTGATGGATGAGGTGAGAGGATGAGCTCCCACCAACACTGCACAGCCTGGCTGGGAAGGAAGCAGCAGAGGACACAGGTAATCTGGTGACTGTGAAGTGGGACACGTGGGGCTGTTCTTGGGAGAAAAGGCCATTTGCTAGGTAGAATGACACTTTAACCTGTGCTTTGCTGGCCCAAGTGACACAAGACACAACACAGCCATGGCTGGGGTCACCACACACCTCCCACCACTACTGAAGCAGGGCCCAAATCCAGGAGAGGGTAATTGCATATCAACCTGCTGCCAAGCACCTCTCCCCAGCCAGGAGAGCTGACTCAGAAGGGAAATCTAACACCACACAGCGAACTCCATTTCTCAGACATCCCAGAAATCATCAACTCCAGCATCTCAGCAAGTACATGTTTTCCTCCAGATACAATCCTGAGTCAGCACAGTTCTGTGGGCACAGAGGGATGGAGGGGAAAGCCCTCCTCCCTGAGCTGATGACACTTCAGTGGTGGCCAAGCACTGAAGTCCCAGCAGCTCTGAGGACGGATGCTCTGGCAGCTGCCCCCACAGCCTGCGGGTCCCTAGACACTGGGGGTGCTTCCCTGCCAACCACACTTTGGTCTGTGGATAAAGAAAGGCAGCTTCCCATCGGAATCCAGGCTCTGGGCTTGTTGAGAGCATGGCTGCAGAGCAGAGACAGCCTCTTCCCACTCCTCGGCAAGTTCAATCTCGGCTCTGGAATCGCATCCTGTAGAGGCGGTCCCGGATGTGCTGCTCGTTGTCCCCGTCCATGTGGCGCAGCCAGATCACTTTGCTCACCAAGACATCCTCCTTCAGCTTCCTCTTCATCAGGGACACGAGGCCTGGCCCCTTGCCAGGCTGGGGGCCCCGCAGCAGCACATAGCAGGCGTGATGGCTCCGCTCGAACAGCGCCGCTGCAACACAGAGCACATGGAAATCCAACCTAAGCCTTCTGTGCCTGGACTGGCCACCAGACCCAACACCATCCACAGGGACCAGGAGGGACCAGAGTCCTCCTGCAGCTCCTTGCTGGAGGGCTGGAAGGAGAGGACTTACCAGTGAACGCAATGATCTGGTCTGTGCTGTCACGGAGCTCCAACAGGACGTGAGTGTAGGAAGGATGGAAAAGGTACAGCTTTGAGAGAGGAGCTCTGTGTCTCTGCAACCAACAGGACATATCAGGACACATACTCACACGTTATCCCAGAGACAACACCAGCACCAGGCTCAGCTACTGCTCATGCTCGACAGGATACACCCAGCCAGACACTTTTCAGCCCAGCTCATCCTGACCGATGCCATTAAGACTAGTGCTGGGATTTTGCTTACTGCTCTCCTTCCCACCCCGAGCTTCCTGCAAATAGCTGGCCTGTCTCCTGCAGGCAGGGGACAGATTTTTGCCTCAGGGCTGGCAGAGTGAGCAAGGAAAGTGGAGGAAGCTCAAGCTGGTGCTTCAGCAGCCTCTGAGACACAAACTGTCACCAGTGCTGCCTGCCACTGCCCCAAGGGCTCTGCAAGCAGCTGAGCTGTGCACCGAGGCTGCCAGAGGCTGCCTGGGGCACAGAGAGGATATTCATGTGGCCACAGAGATCACTGCATGCAATGCTGCCATGGGAGGCTCCCAGGAAAACAGCAGCAGCTCCAGAGGCAGCAGGCCAGAAGCCTCACAGCTCACCTACAGTGCCACACCAAGGCAGGGCAGTGACTCTGCTCACAGAGCCACAAGTTTCTGAGGCTCAGGCTGAAAATGACAAAAGCTGCCAGTGCCACCACCTCCTGCAGGGACACAGCACACCAAACCCACACCCAGTGCATGAGGCTGCAGTGTCAGTGGCACTGAGAGATGGGAATATCAACACTGTGAGAAGGGGGTAACTCCACCCAATTCTGGCACAAAGGCTGGAGAAGAAAAGCAGCCCTCAGCAGCAGCACTCACTGTCTCATTGCCTGGCTGCCGGTAGTCTCCCCACAAGAGGAAGGCAGAGCGGTGATCCGCAGTGGGAAGCGTGGCTGGGCCAGGGCCCTCTGCTCCCGAGTTCAGCTCCAGCTCCCACTGGACTGCTCCAGATCCACTCTCAACAATCATAACCTAGCAGGGAAGAAGGAAAAGGAACTCATGACAAAGGCATCTAACAAGCCATGAGGGAGAAGTCAGGTCAGCTGTCTTTCCTCACACTGTCTATGGGAATGAGTATGTGACACATGGGAAGATGAGGAAATACTTGAAGCAGAGCATCACAGAGCTGGGAGACCTGCAGTTGGCCACATTAGAGTAAAATCACAAGTTCTGCAGCTACTTCAAGGGGTTCAAAGTTCTGTCATTGAAGCCTCTTGCTGAGAAGAGAATTAAAGTGCCTGAGCTGGCTTCAATAACCTGTTGAAAGAGATCCTTTCACAGCTTAAAGCTTCCTAAAATCAGCCAGAGGGAACACATCCCACCAACTGTCCTTGAATCAATTCCTGCTTGAGCTGTGACATACTGAGAAATGGGAAGTTAAAAGGAAGATATTTCAAACCTTCTTCCTGTTGGGTCCAATTTCACTCTCCAGGACAATACTGTGGACATCAGGTTTGTAGTAACCGGACAGTGGCTCCCTGAGGGAGAGAAAGAGCAGGGACAGATCTGAACCCACCCTGATGGCTGGGCATACTTTGCTTTCCCAGCTGCCTCTATCCTCCCACAACTGCCCTGGTAAGAGACTTGACTGCCACAACATTGGGTTGGCCTGGTACCACCCCAAATCTGAGCCCAGCCACATCACAGCAGGCATGAGGAATCAAAGCTCTGAGCTCCTCCATCCTGAAGCAGCTTCCAGTACTTGAGGGGACAGAACACAATAAACAAGATCAAGATATGACCCAGGCAAAAAAAAAAACCAAACCTGCATCTGTCAGGACACTGCTGTTGCTGGGAACCTGGAAATGCCACATCTAGCCCACACTGAGAACATTACCTCAAAGCACGGGACACGTTGAGGGTCCACACAGTGCGGAGATCTTTTGTGTTGATCAGTGTAGCCATCTCTGAGTCCACCACCAAGATGCTGTCCTGTGAGTGCTCGGGAACTTTTGCCAGGTAGTGAATGTCTCTAAATCTGAACAAGGACAGAGAAATTATTAAACTTTTTAGACCGTGGGTGGTTTACCCATGGGTGAGGTTTGGAATTCTCTCCCTGCACAGTAAATCCGAATAGGAACCTCCAACATGCTTTCTCTGCTTTCCTGTGAACCCCGCATGAAGCCATTAACACCAACCCTTTTCCTGAGCTTTGGATGTGCTCCTAAGTTCAAAAGCCACATAGCCAGGAGAGAACAGAGTCCCACCAGGTCATCCTGTCAGGAACACCAGCACCCTCCATTCCACCAGCCTCCAAGACATAACCTCACACCTGAGAAGGGATGCGCGGTGTGTGGTATGGTCAATGTGCTTCTCCCAGTAAGGATCCGGCTGGAAGTTGGGAAGCTTAACTTCCATCCCAAGTGCTGCACTGCACAGATCTTGCAGGGAATATGCATACAGAGAGTTCTCTGTGCAAAAAGAAAAAAAATTTAAAAAGCAAGAATGAGAGAGATAAGTAATCTTGCCCTTGCTCTGAACTCTATGATTTTCCAGATCTGTCAGATCAACTATATTTTTAGGGCTTGCATCATAGAGTTGTAGTGGTATTTTGAGACTCAAGCCTGCTATTGAATGCTTTTAACATTTTATCTGTTCATAATCCAAGTGTTCCACAGTAATCATTTGCTATAAATGACTGCCTAATCCTTACATGCTTGACATTTGTTAAATAAAATCACTACAGTACATAACAAACTGCAGTTTAAACAGAAGCTCCCCCCCTCTCTTGGCCCTGAACAGCTCTTTGACTAGGTGAAAACTCCACACAGCTTGTAAGAATGCAAAACACACTCTCAGATGATGTTTACTAATCCTGATCTCAGTTACAACCACTCTTTCAGACTGAATTCCCAAGCAGAGCTGTACCTGTGTAGAAAAGGAAGTAGGAGGAGGAGTGCAGGTGCAGTCTGATGTAGCGAGCGTTGCCATCCATGCTCAGGCTGCCAGTGGAGCCGATCTGCTGGCCAGTTTTTCCTGAATGGATGAAGGTCTTCACCTACCCAGGGAAGGGATTAAAGACAAATACCAACAAGGTTAAACTGAATGGGAGCAGCACAGGCTTGGATGGAAAGTCTCTCCCTGGTTTTGGAGGAGCAGGCATAAGTTAGGTGACACCTTTGCTCTGAATTCTTCTCCAAGTTTGAAAACCACTTCCAGCAGAGCCACCTGCTCTGAGAATTTGCTACTTCTGTCACCCATCCTCCTTACAGACTGTGACTGTGGAACAGCAGCCCCAGCTCTGTAAGGACAGCAAAGATCCATTCAAGCCTAAGATGGAGGTGACCTAATGTCAGTAACAATGCAGCATATGAACATGGGAAACTTTTGGCTTCACATGGTAGCTCTGCTAAATATTTTAAGTGCCTTAATCTACTCCTCCTTAGGGTCATGTGAGTCCAAGAAAATAAAAGAGCTGATAGGTTTCTTTCTATTCTTTATGCAGAGTAACAAAATCCACTAAAAACATTTCACCCAGGAGAATGTTAAAGTCATGATCAGATTTAAATGTCTGAGCAACAGTCAGAGTCTGGGGAGTGCAATGGACTTTAGGGAAAAGTGAAACATCTGACCAAGAGAAACAGCATCCATCGGAGATGCTGAGTCAGGCAGGAACCCTTCCCTCTTGTCTTGAGAGGGAGGGACTGGGAAAGAGAAGGAAATCTGCTGTTCCCAAAGCAAATCTGGCAGGTGAAAAAGGGATAAAGTTTGCTGGGGAAAATGAGAACACAACTGGAGATGGCAATGCATCCACCAGCTATTCCCAGCCTCCTGCACTGGGAGGAGACACATACCAGCTCTGGCAGATCAGCTGCACCTTTACTGGCAAGCACTGGTCCAGTGGCTGCCCTGGGACAGTGACAGCCAGGGGTATTTACACAGGGAGAGAGAAAACACAACATTTTCCTTGCTGCACTGCCAATCCCTCTGTGCTGCCACAGGACACACATCCTGAAAACTGGCACATTTTCTGGGATGTGTTTGTGCTGAAGCTTGCAGCAGGTAGGGGTCAATGGACTCTCTGGAAACGCTGCCATGTAACCCTCTGCACACAGACCCTTCCACAGACTGCTCACAGCTCTGGCCTTTCAACTGCAGCCCTTGATAGCAACAAAGCTCCTCTGCTTGAGTGCTGAATCTCCCTTCTGACCAGCCCTTTCCAAGCTGCAGAGCTCCACTCCAGCTCCTACATTTGCGTGATTTCTCAAAAGAGAACATACTTTTCCTTAAGTTGGCAGAGTGCTTGCCAAATCCAGAGGGAGGAAGGGATTTCATACCAAGATAGCAAGAGAGCTTAAATGGAAAACAGATCAAAAGGCAGTCCTGCAGAACAGAGGCTACATTCAAACTTTTCTTGGCTGCCTAAGATTAAAAAAAAAACAAAAGTCTTGAGATAACTGGGATAGCAAAAGCAAGGAGGAAAGGAAACAGAGACAACTGGAGGAGGTGGAGAAGATAGAATTTCTGATGCCTCTGGCAACAACAATGCCTTGGACAGCAAAACCCTATTTTCTTATGGAGGACATTGGCCAAGAAGGCCAATGGCACCTGGCTTGTACCTGCCATAGGGTGGCCAGCAGGGCCAAGGAAGTGCTTCTGCCCTTGTACTGGGCGTCGGTGAGGCCACACCCTGACTGCTGTGTCCAGTTCTGGGCCCCTCAATTCCAAAAGGACACTGAGGTGCTGGAGCAGGTCCAGGAAAGGGAACAGAGCTGGGAAAGGGTCTGGAGCACATGTCCTGTGAGATGGAACTGAGGGAGCCTGGGGGGCTCAGCCTGGAGAAAAGGAGACTCAGTGGGGACCTCCTCACTCTCCGTAACTCCCTGACAGGAGGGGCAGCCAGGTGGGGGTCAGGCTCTGCTCCCAGGGAACAGGGACAGGACAAGGGAAAACGGCCTCAAGCTGTGCCAGGAGAGGTTCAGGTTGAACATCAGGAGGAATTTCTTCCCAGAAAGGGTTGTTAAGCATTGGAAGAGGCAGCCCAGCAAGGTGGTGGAGTCACCATTGTGGGAGGTGTTCAAGGAAAGCCTGGACGTGGCACTCAGTGCTCTGGGCTGAGTGACAAGACAGGGATCAGTCACAGGTTGGACTTGATGATCTCAGAGGTCTGTTCCAACCTTAATGATTCCATAACTCTGGTATGAGGACATGGGGCTCCCACTGGTCCCATCAGACCCACAGGGAGCTGCAGCTTGTGTGCTTTGAACAGGACAGACTGGGCATGCAGACAATGTTGTGCCACTCCATCAGGGATGTAGATGCTTCAGCAGAAAACCTGTTCTAGCTACATGACTTTCCCCCTCTCAGCAGTATTTGGAGGGAGATAATACAACCAGCAGCTGTTTCACTAAATGAACTCAGATCAGAATTAACCAGCACAGTGACACTGGAAGAGCAGTGCAAAGCAGACCACAGGCAGAGAGAGGGAAGGGATCAGAAAAGAGCAGTGCTGGTACAAAAGCACTGACTGTCAGCTGTGCTTTGATCTAAGAGCCAAAGCTGTCAGGGTTTGTTCACTTCCACTTCCCTAAGCAGAGAAGAAGGAAACTGCAAGCTCATCTTGCCCCAGCTCACTCCCCAGACAGCACAGGAACATGCAGTGAGGACAGCACACTGAGAAGGGGGAAGGGATTACAGCCCAGCTCTTTGATTTATTTTATTTTTTTAAATCATAAAACACTTGTGCTGATTTGGGAGCACATCTCTGGAGGGTGGGAAAGAACCCACCCCAAACCCACAGAAACCAGAGGCCTCTGGACACTTCCTCTGAGATTACAAGGTGGAAATAAACAGCATTCCTGCCATCCCCTGTGGCAGCCACAGGTTATCAGAGCTTCAGGACGACATACCTGGCCTCCTTTAGTAATAAAGATTATCAGGTCCTCAACTCCATCATTATCCATATCTGGAATCACTGACAAAGGAGTCAGCACAGTATCATTAGCTCCAAAGTCACTGGATTGCCTCCATAGAACTGCCCCTGGAAAACAGTGGGAAACAGTCATTAAAAGGCATCTTAGGTTTAAAGGGTATTAATGCTCCTGTTCCAGCACATCAGCACCACAAACCAGCCACACTTATGCTCATCATGGGGTACCTCCTTGCCTTTCTGCATTCCCAATGAATCCCAGCACCCACAATTTCATCTTACATTGGAAAGCAATCCTAGCTGCCTGCAGGAATGCACCCAAACACCCTGGCACAAAGAACAGCTTGCTTCCCTCGTGCCTTTGGTTAACAAGCTTCCCAGCATGTTCATGGCATGGAGAATCCTTTGTTGTGATCCAAATCCCTGCTGCTGTGCACTTAAATCTGCAGACATTTTGAGACCATAAAGCACCTGAATTCTGACCAGTGTTGCTGCAACTCCTGGCAGAACCTTCTTTGCTGCAACTTGTCTCCTGCAGATATTCCTGCAGAAGTTTCCCAACGACATGACTAGCCACAACTCAGGCCACATCCCACCTTTCCCTCGTTTGAAGAACACACACAGCCCAAACTTGTTTGTAAATTGAGGTATCAAAGCTTTGCTTTTTAAAAAACTGGGGGGTGGCTGTGGGCCACCTTCCAGTCACTGCCCAGTGCAATTTGCAGTGGAATCTGGCAGGGAAGACCCTGCTGGGGGGTTTTCTTTCTAATGAACACTTCAGTGTCTGATTAGGTGCTCCCAGGGCAAATGTTTACCCTCCCCTTTACCCAGCATCACACACAGCAATTATCATTTCAGGAATGCAAAGTAATCATCTGTTCTTTGTTAGGAAGGCAGCTGGACTGAAAGCCAAGGAATTACTACTTGATGCTGTCTGCAATAATTTAAGGCAGGCTGTATTTCTAGTAGGATTGCTCCAAAGCTTTTACTGCAACGCTGAAAAAACCACTTGGATTTGTTACTATGACAACAGATGTGAAGTGAAGAGAGCAGATTTCCTAGTTTCCTTAGGAAATCATGGGAAGGCAAAGAATTTTGCCCTCAAAGAAAAGAACTAGGCAGAGGAAGAAGAGAAGTTTTAAATTACCACATTCTAGCTTCAGGACTGTCCAAAGGTACAAGAGTAAGACCAGGATAATGAAATTCACTTGTCAGTGCAGAAGGCTCTAATTGGTGGTGGTTAGACAGCAGAGTTTGGGAGAAAATATCTTATTCTCTTAAAAGAACAGTCTGAGTTAAGAGAAACAGGTGACACTGAGCTGGATTCAACCCCAAGCACTTGAGAAGTTTTCCATGCTCTAACCCAGCCCAGAGAGCACAGAAACCAGCCCTCTCCTGCTCCATCAGCAGGAGATGGGGCTGTCGTGTCTGACATCTGCAGTGCCGCAGCACTTCCTCAGAGCCCGGGGTCACGGCACCAGCACGGCACGAGGAGCCAAGATGGAAATCAGGCAAGTGCCTAGACTGCAAATCTAACCTGGGTGAAAGGGTTGGATTTTTTTGGTCTGGAAGGAATAATAAAATCAGAACTCCAAAGACTCTCACTTCAAGAAGACACAGAGGACACAGAGACTTTTCTCCCTGTCAGACATTCTCCAGGTTGGAGTTCTGGTTTATTTATTTTAGTGGTTTCTCACATAGATGCAGTTCCATCTTCTGATCATCATGGTGCCCTTTCTGCCAAATCCCTCAGGAGACCAGAACCACCCACAGGGCTCACAGTTCAGGCTGCTGGAGATCAGGTGAAGAGAGAAGGTGTAACAAAACTCTTACTCCTGTCTGCTTCCTTGAGACTCTGCCTCAGGCTATGGCAGAGATGGAATAATACACAGCTACAAGGACTTTTGCTTTGACCTGGAACAGTTAATCTTAAGCTCCTATGTGTCCCAGTTTGCTGGTAAGATAAACATGCAGGAATGTTAAGATGTCCCACACAAACAGGAGCATGCACTCCTACACTTCCCTTCCTGCCTCGGGTCACTTCTTGTGGCAATGAAGAAAGGAGGACTTAACACAACTTCAACTGATAAAAAAACATGAACTTTATCAGCATTTAAAGATCAAAACCACATCAGACACATTCAGATGATAATCTGCCTATCTCTCCTTCAATCTTCCTACTGACAGGGGCTAGACAGCCTGAGAGCCCTGGAATCTCACCAAATCCTCCACGATGATGAATCATTAACAGCTAAAGATTGTGCTGGCTACTGTTTTTAGCACACTGTGATGTAAGCTAGACTTTGCCTCTTTGAATACATTTAGCCTATTTAAATACATTTTATTCTGCTCTGCCCTCCTAACCCCCAGTCAACTAAGCTCAGAAACTATTTTTAACCTACTTAATAGCAAAAAAGGCATCAAATACATAAACTCCTGGGTTATTCACTTTTCTATCTGATGCATTTTTTCCTCTCTTGCTTTCAAGTTATCTATGGAATGTTTTCTTTGCTGTATTGCTGTGACCTGTAGCCTAGCCTGGTTCCTTCTCTCCACACTTGCCTTTATGGCTGTCTTTAGTTACAAGCCTTTGGCTCCATAGCCAGCTTTCTACACTTGGACCTGAAAGTAACTACTTCATTAATAGTCTGAAAATAACCTGTGCTAAAGCCTACACATGAGGAAAATGGTACTAAGATGTCTCTGTTGGTACAGAAACTTTCTAGCTCTGTGTCCATCTACACTTCCATCTATACACTGGAAATTAAAAGCTACACCAGATTTTCCTCAAGTTCCTTAGAGCTGCACCTCTTGATATTTTTTTTCCGATTTTTGGAAATCAGAGTGTGAGGGGTTCAATACCAGATACAAAGGATGGGATCCTAGGGAGAACTTGTACTGTTTAGACCTTTGAAACAGTAACCTCCAAAATGGAAATGTATTTTAGGCTTCACCAGCAAGGAGGGTTCAAGGTGCAGCAGATGATCACTGTTTCTAAAGTAATACAGGCACTCCTTACCCCCACCCACATTAGGCAAGATGATGATGATGAATTTCTCCACCTCTAAGTTTAGAAAGGAAGAAACCTTTCCAGAGGAACTAGGCAGAAGCGTAGACTACTGAAACAGACTGGCAAGCACTTATCCTGAGCGCTCTCCTTGACAACTATAAAATCATAAATGCCTAGAACTCCCACTCCTCCTGCCACAGCAGGCACTCCTGGCACGCACACACAAATAACTGGGAAACGTTGCAGGTGCAGGTTTGTGTCTCACCCTGAAGAGTATAAAGTAACATTCACAGCTAGTGACTGCTCCTCCTGTTTCAAAAGCTGCTGGAACACTGGTCTTACAAAACAGTGGCTGGCACAAACCCCCACCAGAGCCCAGTCTTTGGAACAGCGAGGCCGAGAGCACGAGCTCCTCAACGCAAGTGGCTCTGGCAAGGTTTCCAAGATAATAAATACCCAGTGCCCATTGTTCATGTACCAGCCAGTCATGTCACACTGCCGTCCCCCCTGGAGGCCACCAGGTGAGGACAGCAAGTGGCCCATCCATCCCCTGTGTGGCAGCAGGGCTCTGCTGGCACTCACCTGTCTGCAGGTCGACTGCTGTAAGGGACAGTGGCTTCTCCACCACGAGGCAGCCCGGGCCCCCCGCCGTGCCCAGCTGCTGGATGCCACACTGCAGCCACTGCACGTCCTTCGCAGCAGGGCTCTCCCAGAGCACGCTGCCATTCGTGCCTGACATGGCAGCAATGAAGGCACAGGGAGACGGCAGCCCTGGGGAGAAGAGGTGTCAGAGGGAGCTGCCCCTGCACCCACCTTTGCCACCCTGCACCACCCAGGAGCTGGGACTCACCCAGCTCCTCTCCCCACCCAGTTTTCTCTCCCAGTCATTAACTGGAACTAGAAGAGAAAGGACAGCCCTCACTAGAAGGTGTTTTTGAATCAGGTACCTTCATCCAGACAGGACATGTTGAAGCTGCTGCTGCCATTGCTGGATTTGAAAGCAAAGAGCACATCTTGTACTTTGTCTTCATTCACATCTTCTAAAGCAAGGAACTGGTAGGGCACTGCAAGAGAACACAAGCCAGGCTCTGGTGAGGATCTTCTTTGCCCACAGCAGACAAAGTTGGAGGAAAACACAAATTCCTAGAGACCTACTCACTGCCTCCATCCTGGACATCAGGACAAATTGGCTTTTATATTAAAAAAAGCCATGTACACAAGTACTAAGGACAAGAAGTTAGTGCCAAACAATTTTTAAAATTTGCAATCCTCCAGAGGATTTGTCTTTTTGAAGAGGCGAATAGCCAGAATTTGAACTATGCTGAACAAACAACTCTGGTCTTGGAGGGAAGTTACTATTCTCAAAGTATAAAGAAGCCCCAGCCAAGCCCCACAAAACCCAGATACTCCATCTTTCTATCAGCTAAAAGCAGCTTTCCTGAGCTCACAGTAGCAGAACCCGGGATGTCTGCAGCACCTCATGCAGCTCAATCCCTGCTGTGAGCACTATCTCTGCATTTACAGCACATCCAGCACAACCCACTGCACACAAGATTAAAGAAAAGCTCTCCCAGAAGTGATTGCCGAGTCACTGGGGAGCAGGACCTAGGCTATAGAGCCAACTACAGCAACCGGAATAAAAATAGCTATAGTAAATATAAAACAATTTATTAAATAAACAAGATGGAATTATTCTTCTCCCCTTCCTGTCGGCCATAGGGAAAAGGGAGAAAGTCAAAGTGGCAGAGGAAAAAATGCCCAATTGCCTCCAACCTCAGCTCAAACTCCAAGGGAACATTTTAAAGGGCAAGCTTCAACAGTGGTTTATTCCCAGATACCCTTTCTCTCTTTTTTCTTTTTTTTTTCTGTGAACGAGGCCAGCCTGCTACCTTGTTAGCACTTCAGAGCAGCATCTAATTTCTCCACTAGATCCTGTAAACACCTCCTGGAAGGCCACTCCAATTATGATGGGCCATTGCTTATCCAGGTCAGGTATTCAAAGCTCTGGCTCCCAAGGGCTGCATCCCTGCAGGTCTGGCTCCACACTGTGCTTAGATAGAGGCCCACAACCCAAATCCGTGGCACAGAAAGGAAAAGGACTCTTGGTAAGTATTTATTCTGCTGCAGCAAGCTCACCTGCACTGTTGAAGTATTGGAACCATGTTCTTTCCGAAACTGGCCTCTCTGGGCAGGGAATGATAAAGGAGAAAGCAAACACAATGATCAGGCAGAGGAACAGGGAGATGAAGAAGGCAGCAGTGCGCCATCGGGACAGCCGGGACAGCCCCGAGGACTTGACAATCCTCCTCTCCACAAAGTTTTCATGGTTCTCCTGAGCTTTTACATCCTCAGTCTTCAGAGGGTGGATCTCAGCTTCTGAGTCCTTGTTATCCATCACAGCTCATTCATCGGTATTCAGACACCCTTCTTCCCCTTCACCTGCAACAATGGAAAGAGAAGTTAAAATACATTTTGAAATATATTTTAAAAACACAAATTAAAATATTCTGTGACTATCTGATATTCACACTGGAAACATTTAATGGCAGGTGAGCAAACCAGTGTTTTGTCACAGAGCTGGACACAACACACTGCTGGTGCCGGAGGTCTCCCACACAGAGCAATGGAGAGTCCGTGGAATGCAGGAACAGCACCAATTCTTCTCCAGAGGAGGAGAGCAACCCTGCTGGAGCTGGACAAAGAAGGCTACAGACCCCACACAGAAAGGACTGACTGGTCTGCAGGTCTCCCTCTAGAAAAACAACCCAAAAGCTTCTTTTGTTGCAAAGACTTATTGCCGCCTCCTGTGTGTGTCAGCCTGACTCCCAGCTGGAGAGGTGAAAGGAAACACTTGTGACCTTTACATCCCAACATAAGGCTGTTCTCTAATGTGCATTTGAGCTTCCCCTGGAGAGACAGAAACAAACACCAACACATTCTGTATAGGGAAAAAACAAAGCTATTTGACACCTTCTTACATGAGAAACCACTGGGTAAGTTCAGCAACCCAGCCCTGAAGAAGGCAAAAGAGCAATGACTTCCCTGCCTGGAGAAAAATCAAGACAGGAGCTGAGACTAAAATCAAGCAAATTTGATTTCATCATGGAAGAGCTAACAACTGCTATCTTAGCTTCTCCTGCTACAAATCATAACCTTGGGCTACAACTATAATAAGCAGAGGGTTTCTGTGTTAATTTGCTATAAAAAGTTGGGGGAATGAGCCCTTGTCAGTTAAGAGGAGCCTGGAAGTCATTAGCCACAACAACAGTAAAAATCCATGTTTTATACAGGTTCTCTGATAGTGCTTCCCACAAGGGAAGAAATAAAGAATAACACATTCCAGTAGGCTTGGAAAAAGCTGCTTGACAGTGTTATGAAAAGTTATATCAGAGCAAATAACCACGACAACCAAGCCAATTTTCCATGACTGTGCCCCAGCAGTCACGTGTTTGGGTTCTCCACTGCAGCCATTTACTTCCCCAGCAGAAAAGAGCTTAAAGTCAGCACCAACACAGTGCAGAGAGCCTGGGATTCCAACTCCAACAGCAACAGGGCTCACTGTGTCTCACGTTCCTACCCAAGCTCATTTACAGGCTCTGTGAAACACAAGATGTTTCCTTCCTGCTCCTTCAGGCAGCTGTGGCTCCCCAGGCTGTCCCTGTCCCACTGCAGAGGCCTCTTCTCTTCTGGGTACAAATTACAAGGGGACAGATTCATGGCAAGGCAGCCCTGAGGCACAGAATCAGCAGGTCAGTCTGGCACTGTCAACCCTTTAACCTCAGAGCCTGCTGGACTTAGAAGCACTTACTCCAACCTGAGCACTCTGGCATTTGTTCTACATCAAGTACAGGATCTCATTCCAGATAATTTAATTCGACCTGCACAATACCATGCAAACAAATCAATAATGCAGAAGTTGCATCTTATTCCAAAGATCTTACTTCAAGGATTTCATCTGCCCTTCTCATCAGCCCACCAGCCACACCAGGGACGCCTACATGAGGCTGGCTGTTCCCAGACCTGCAGCAAGCACCTGATGGGTAGGAAGGCTCCAGATGGAAAGGGGAACAGATCAAGTGGTGCTTTCAGCCTCTGCCCCGAGCTGAGCATTGCTCTTTTACTGCACCAGGCCTTGAGCAGCTTCACAGTACAAGGCTCCAGGCACAGGCTGAGCAAATGTTTTACTGGTGTGGATCAGCCACGGCCACAGCAATGGGGACAGTGGCAGAGTGAGTTATGTGACCTCCCCTGTGCTGGGGCAGGTAGCTTTTGTGTCCCTGGAGTGCCCAACTCCAGCAGCATGGAGAGGGGGATCTTCTCAAAACCAGCACCCTCAGCATGGGCTGCAACAGGGCCCCAGTACAATCCCACTGGCCTCTCCAGCAGGGCCTCTGCAGCCTCCCAGTGTAGAGCTGGGAGAGATCCAGGGCATACCAGCACCTACAAGACTTCCCAAAAGGAACCAAACCCAGCTTTCTCCCCTCTCTGTCCAAAAGGGGCAACACCTAGCATTGATGGCATATTTTTATGACTCACTATAAATCCCAGCACTGTCATCTAGACTGGGATGAGAACAATAAAGAAGCAGTAATTATCCTGACAACCCCAGTAATTCCCCTCTTTTTTGCAGCGATGACCCTATGGAGCCACTGAGTACAAAGAGCTCTCAAAGCCTTTAAAGCAATTCTCTCTCTTTTCTTTCAGGGTTTGAATAATGCCCTTTGCACCCCTGCCAGAGCAGAGGCGGTGCCAGAACGAGGACCACAAAGGTCAATGGCAAAGACTCAAACAATGCAGGAAATCCCAGCGCCCGCTGCTGCCAAAGTACATGCTGGCAGCATGTGGAATGGCCTGAGCTCGGAACAACAAAGAGGGCTGGTAATTAGTTTAATTGAAGACAAGCAGAAAATGATAGTGTGCATCTGAGATGGTTTTACTGTCCTCTAGCAGCCGACATCTTGTCTCCTGCTGGAAGAGGACACAAAATAATTCAGCTGGGAAGTTTAACACATGCAGGCACCTTTCAAGGGAGCAGGCAGTGACAGGATTCTGCATTGCTGCAGTGTGACACACACCACATGCCATAGATCTGGGATGGGAGAAAACATGGGAGAAAGACTTTGTAGAATGAGAAATAATTAGAAGACACATGAGAAACTCAAACTGAACCCAGACAGGCCAGGGAGTGTGGCAGCACAGCCAGGATCTGCATCTCAGACTCCAGGGCTCCCAAGCTTTAAAGGTTGCTTCCCCCAGCTGTGGGATGAGCTGGATGCAGTCCCCAACCCAAGCTGAGGGGGAGAGAACACCCTTTTCTGTACCACAGTAACAACAGGGACAGGACAAACACAGCTTAACTCACCTTCACTGTCCTGTTTCCTGAAGCCACAGTGCAGATTTACAGATCTGATCTGCCTCAAACCAGCGAAACTTGCACAGCTAAACCCAAGGGACAAACACCATCAGCAGTAGTCAGACAGAACTGCCTGACAAGCACAGAGAACCACAGACAGTCAGGTGGATGAAGACTGGTGACAGAAACCATTTAAGGATCTGTGCATTGGAAAGGTTTAACTCATTTTCCACTCATAAAACACTGACCAACGGCATCTGGAATGTCACCATGCACCAGTTCTTCCCAGAAAATTTCTAACAATATGCTATAACTTAGATTTGATGTTCAACACGTTTTTATCTTCCACAGAATGATGAAATCAGGTTCTGACTGGACATTTTAGGAACACAAACACAGCATTTGGCTGGTTTAGTTCTGTTTGGTTGGTTAGTTTAAGCATCTCAGAGGTTTCCTTCCTGTCAGCCCGAAACTGCTGAAACCCCAAGCTGCAAGCAATGAAGACAAAACAGCCAGGTTTTGCTCTGAATAAGATGCAACATTCCCATCACAGTTATTTCCCATGAGCAGACTGTTGGGTTTTGATCCCATGCACAGTGTGACACTGCAGCAAACTCACTGGGCAGTCACCTGCTGTGACGTTCAGTCTCGGGTCCTTTGTTCCTTTTTCTGCAGTCCCACTTACATCAGGACAAGAAGAAATAACATGTAAGATTTCCTAAAATGAGCTGTGCTCTCCCGAAGACCCTCAGGCTGCATGCTGCATCATTTTGCTGGGTCAATCTGCAGCTCACAGCTCTTTCCTGACATCAGGTCACAGCCAAGAGCTGGCTGGGGACAATGACCTGAGCAGACCATCCCTGTCTGACACTGGGGCACCTCTGCTCCTGGCATGTCCCCAAGGCCCTTCGAGGGACACAGTTTGTAACCCAAACCCCACCAACAAGACTGGTGTGGCCCTGGCACAGGTTTCTCAGATAATCTGTGGCTGCCCCTGGATCCCTGGAAGTGTACAAGGCCAGGGTGGACAGGGCTTGGAGCAACCTGAGACAGTGGAAGGTGTCCCTGCACATGGCACAGGGTGGAATGAGATGAGCCTTAAGGTCCCTTCCAAATCAAACTATTCTGGGATTCTCCTGCTGGAGTTGTCTTCAGGTTCTTCTGAAATGACATTTAACCCTCCAGTGCAGTCACAGCATATGACACAGAGCACTCACAGAAAGGGAATTAGAACCTCCTCCAGAGCACAACCACCTTGCAATGTGATACATCTGCCATTTGTAGGAGAAAACTCTTATCCAGGGTAGTTCTCACTACAGACAGGAGTTCAAATACAGAATCTCAAACTGTTACCCAGTATTATTTCCATAAGACCAATGGGAAGATCAAAACTCTAAGGAAAAGAACAGCGTTAAAGCTGTGTGGAACTGATTACAGGACAGACCAGTAATAACAACCGAGCTGCAGAAACACCAGTCATTTATAGTCTCTGGGCTTACAAGCCCCACTGCATCCAAGCCTCTCCCCTCACAATCCCTTGTGCCATCTCCAAGAGTAGCTGTCAGCAGGGTGCTTGAACCTCCCACATCACAGACACTGAAACACCCCCACCTCAGCCACAGGGCTCCCCTCTTGCCTCAGAAGCACAGTGACATCCCTCACTGCCAGAGACTGAGCACACAAGGGACTCTGGAGAGATCCCTGTGCATGAAAACCCCCTGGAAAAGGCTGTGGTCATTTCATGTGGGTTTATTCAAAAGACAAAAAAAGTGCATTTTTTGGTGGGCACTCACTGCACAGCTCCGAATTCCGTGCTGCCTCCTGCACAGCCTAGAGAGATTTATGGCAGCATGAAAGGCCAGGCTTTGGGGTGGGGCTTGGAGCAACCTGGTCTAGTAGGAGGTGTCCCTGCCCATTGGACAAGATAATCTTTATGGTCCCTTCTAATCAAAACCATTCCATGATTCTATGAAACAATGGCCTTCCTCCAGATGTTGTTGTCTTTCAGAGCCACCTTAAAGAGAAATCGCTTTTCTCCCCCCAGAAGTGGAATCTTTATTTCTGTCACACACACACAGAGCAAAGCTCCTCCACAGGCCACTCCACCCACACATCCATCCCTGGGGAGCCTCTGAGCTCCACAGGCAGCCCGATCCTGCCCTGGTACCGGGAAGGGCTGGCTCCAGTCCCTCCCTGCAGGACAGGCTGCCCCTCTCGTTCCCAGCTGTTACGCAAGATGTTTCTGCCTTACAAAATAAGGAGAAGAGGCTGGAAATGAGGTCGGAGTTGAAGACATTGCAGTGTTTTCTTTCGGCAGGAAGCCCTGTGATTCGCGCCTGCAAACCAGGCTTGTGGGCTCCCGAGGGAAGGAGCAAGAGGACTTTGACGCTCTCCAGGGAGAGCGCTGAGGCTCTGGGTGTGCTGAGCTCTGCGGAGCTGAGGGGATTTCTCGGGCTGAAGCACAGACCCGCAGTCCCAGGTGGGAGCAACTCCCCAGGCTCGCTCGCAGCTGCCAGCCTCGGGATAAAGGACCTCGGACCAAAGGGAGCACCTCGGGCTTTGGAAAAAAGGATTAAATTCTCTCCCAGTCTTCCCGCTGCGGTTTGGGGGCACTTCTCGTGCTGCTCAAGGCGGACAGCGAACCCCTCCGGGTCAGCGGGGAAGGCCGCAGGGCTGGGCTGGAAGTGCTGACAGCCGCGGGCTCTCACAGGCCGGGCCCTCCAACGGCCCCACCGACCCCAAGCTCCCGGAGCCGGCGGCAGCGCGCGGGCAGCGGGGACGCTTCGGGAGCCGGCTCCGCTCCCCGAACGCCCCCTCACAGCGCGGAGGCGCGGCCCGCGGACAAGGCCGTGTTCTCGGTGCGCAGCCACGGAGGCGCCAGGAGCGGACCAGGGCACCCCCCCCCCCCCCCC